GTTTTTGGTTGCTTTGCAGATTCAAGAGACAACAACATGCTAAAAATGTGGCCATTGTGCAAGCTATGCTGGCTGTTGAGCAGGGAGCATCCTCCCAAGTATGGTTAAGTATGCTAAGCCGTTGAGACGCTGTCAGAACTCCAAACGCTCCTGAAGGGCACAGGTTCCCATTGCACCAGGATGTTGTTCTGGACAGACCTCTGCATCTCCCAGGGCTCAGGTTCCCATTGCACGGGGTCTCCGATGCAAAGGGTCTCGTTTACTGTGTAACCTCCTTGATCGCTCAAGCTGTTGATTCAGCAGGCTGATCGGAAACCTCATGGTAATGTGTCTGGCTCTGCATATAATTTAAAAGAAAGGGGGAGATGTCGGGAGCCGTATTCACCATTACAAGATGGCGCTGGCTTCCTGCTTCCTGGTTCTTGTTTACAGCATTAGCTATGTTAATTGCACATGCGCTACTATATGGTAATTTCTATATGGTAGCTCTCCCTATCAGAGAGGCTATATCATTTGGGCGTTTTGCGGAGCACCAATCACAGACAAATACGTCGCCCTGCGGGCTATTTAAGCCTTGCGCATTTGGGGCTTGGGGTCCTTCTCCATCAGCATGTAAAGAGCTCTACAATAAAGATTCTGCTGGACAAATCTTCGGTTGCCGCGTCTTCCTTATCGGCAAAGGTTGCGCGCGACACAGGGTCACTTAAATTCCATTTTAAAATTGCTAGATAACAAGCTATTGATATAGTTAAGAATTGTCCCCTATGTGCAGAGTTCTTACCTTTTCCACACCTTGAAGTTAACCCCCGTGTTGTCACACCTAATGATATCTGGCAGATGGATGTTACCCATGATCCTTCCTTTGGTCGACTACAACTTGTTCATGTATCTGTGGATACACATTCTCATCTCATATTTGCCTCTGGTCATACTGGAGAAAGGCTTAAAGAAGTTAAAAGCCATTGTTTATAAGCCTTTGCTTATATGGGAATGCCCAGACAATAAAAACTGATAATGGCCTTGCTTATACTAGTCAGAGTTTTAACTCTTTTTGCAAAAATTTTTTTTTATCCCACATAAGATGAGTATCCCTTAATATCCTCAGGGTCAGGACATGGTGGAAGGTGCTCTTTGCACAATTAAAGCCTACTTCATAAAACAAAACAGGTGGAGTTTACAGGGTCTTCTCATAGTCACCTTTCTCTTGTCCTTTATATTTAAAAATTTTTAACTATTGATGGTGCTGCTCGATCTGCAGCCGACAGTCATTGGCGCCCTCAGTCATCTGACTATGGTTTAGTTATGTGGAAAACTGTCCCTACTGGAAAACTGTGCAGCCCCAACCCAGTTCTACTATGGGCCTGAGGATCAGTTTGTGTCTTTCCACAAGATGCAGATAACCCTGTTTGGGTGCCTGAGCGGCTGATTCGCCATATGTGGAGGGACAGTGATTGTAACAGCCAGAAGGAAGGTCCGATGGGTCTTCAAGAATCTACCCATCCTGATGCCTGTGGGTCTGAGTAGCCATATGTGGCATTTTTTTCCTGACTATTAATTATAATTTGGATCCAGTGGCTATAAATTTACACTTTGATTCAAAGGACAAGAATTTCACCTTTATCTCAGGCATTGTATTCTGGTTCCGTTCTTTTTTTGTAACTAATGCTACTAATTTTGGAGAAAGTTTCATTTTTCTCAGCAGGTCTGCCAACTATAAAAGCTGTCGGGGGCCACGTACCCAGGTGTGGAGCAGAGAGGAAAGGAGATTTTATGATCATGACTGCTAGTGCTGCCTTCACCACTGAAGCAACAGTTTCTACCATAGCCCTCTCCCAATCTGTAAATACTGCAAGCACTGATCAACTATCAGGTGATTTGGGTTAAGCCTTAGCCACCCAAATCACACTTATTATCTAGTACAAATTGGCATTTTTAAACTAAATTTACAAACTAACCTCTTGTAGGAATACTTGAATTTTTGTGAGGAGCTCATATGGCTTCTTGTTCTCTGTCTTTTACACATATCTCTGTTAATGCATCATTTTTTCTCCAGAAATCCTGGAGTGATCAGTTTTTAAGTTATACACATGCTTTACCCATGCAGATCATTAACATCTATGAAACCTGAGTGTCACTTGCCAATGCAGAAGGTCTTTTACAAGGACTTCAACATGTGAGCAGATCATTGGGGTTTGTAGCCCTTGCACTTGGTGCTACTTTGCCACAGCATTAGAGAGGCCCACGACAACTTTCAAACAACACAGATACTGTCTTTGGCTCAAGAGAAAATGCCTCTGCCCACTTGTGCCTGACAAACTATTCCCCAGTAATGGGTAAGGCAGAGGGGGCAAATATCCAACCAAAGACAGGTAGGTTACAGGCCTGGGTGACCTCTCCAATGATGGGATGAAAGACCCTCAAGGAGTGTCTTCCCTCGGGAGAGACCCCGTGCCCAAGGATCAGTCGAGACCACTCGTGCGGATGCAATCAGCCAGAGGCTTTATTCGGATACACAGGTATCTGGGGCAACAAGATCTCCTTGAAGACTTGCGTGCCGAAAGGCTGGGGAAAGGGATTTTTATAGAGACAGGGGAGCAAATGCGCAGGTAAAGAAGCGAGATGCATGGTTACAGGGATGCCATTGGTCAATTCAAATGAGGCCAGGGTTATTCTGAGGACAAGTTCCCTTAGTACATAGTAACCAGGTGAATAGCAACCAGATGAATAGCAACCAGATGAATAACAACCAGATGAATAGCAAGCAGATGAATGGCTCTATCTAGGGTACACAGGGTGTTTTTCAGGTACTTTCCATTCCTGGCTGGCACAGATATCCTGTTTGGCAGCCCTAGCTTGCTGACCCTGTCCTGAACCCGGGGCTACGTGCACAAAGGTTCCTTCATAATGGTGCTGCAGCAGCTAAGCTAAGCTAATATAATATGATTAGCGGGGGTCTTTCATTCCCCCATTTCTCTTCTGGCTTTGAATGGAATCTTCCATTCATGTGGTCTATGTTAGTTCTATGAAGTCAGGGTCGGATTGGTCTATTTGTTTTAATCGCTGATACTGTTGGGTGAGAACCAGAGCCTGGATGACAGAGTCTATCCTTCATGAATTGGACTAAGCGGTTGAGGATGCAAGGTCCAAACAGGAGGATTAGGAGTAGGATGATCAAGGGACCCATCAAAGAGGACAATAGGGTGGTGAACCAGGGGGACCTATTGACCCATCCTTCAAACCATCCTTGCTGAGATTCGAATAGCTTTTGTCTTTGTTTTAATCTTTCCCTAAGTTTTGCCATGCTGTCTCTTACTAACCCGGTGTGATCTGCGTAGAAACAGCATTCCTCCTTGAGTGCCCCGCATAATCCTCCCTCTCGTAAAAATATCATATCTAATCCTCTCCTGTTTTGTAGGACCACCTCTGAGAGGGAGGTTAACCGATTCTTCCAGTGCCTTGATGTTAGTGTGCATGGCAGCCTGCAGTTGTTTAAATTGGCCGGTTTCTATAAGAGCAGCAGTGCCTGTACCCACTCCTGCCGCTATTCCCCCCATGGTGATATCTCCCAGTAACAAGGCCAGAGTTAGAGATACTGGTTCTCTCTTAAATCGGGGTCTCCCTTCAAAATGACAGTAAATGTATTCTGGATCATGGTATGTTATTTTGGGCCATAATTCAACCAGAATACAATAATCATTGTATTCAGTACTTGAACAGACACACATGGGGTCAGGCCGGTGCTACATGCCCAGTAAGTCCCATCGGGGGCTGCTAAGTAATAGGCTCCTGTGGACATATGTTGGGTTGTTTTACATAAGGCCTGGTGGGTTTTGGGAACAGTCCCTATACAGAGTCCCTGCCCAGATGCTTCAGATAGGGTCAGCTTGTGTTGGGGGGTGGAAATGCAGCTGGTGGGTGTGGTGGAGTGGTTGGTGTAATTACCTAGAACGGCCATCCCTTCATAATAGGGAGGTCTTGACAACAGACATATCCAGCAATCTTGTGTCCTGTTCGTATCTGTGAGGTTGAGAGCCAGATAGTCTCCTTGTATCAAGTTGAGTAGTCTATCCCCAGTCCCAGGTTGGCGGGGAGCCAAGGTAGTGGTAGTAGGGGTATGCACACTAGGGATGCTATTGCTGGCAAAGGAGGCTGTTGGGGCAACAGGGTGTAATAAGGGGGGTACAACTGGGGCCGGCTGGGAGGGTGGTTTTTGGTCTGCTATGACCATATTGGGTCCGATGGAATGGGTTGCTGTGTTCACTTTATGTTTAATTTTGAAAGTGACACCTTTATCTGTCCCTGGGAGATACCATCTGAGACCCCAAGTGTACCCCTGTTGCCATCCAGTGGCCTGCCGTCCTGGCCTTGTGAATGCGATCCTGAGAGGTAATGACAGTGGTTTCTTCCAATTGGCATTTCCATCAGTTCCTCTCTGGTAATAATAAGTGTGTCCATCAGAGTCAGGTAGAGTATATTTTCGTTTGACTGTGATCAAATCCCAGGAAGAGGAGGGCCGCCAGTAGGCGTCCCCAGTGGTCTCACAGCCCCATTCATAGCAAAAGTATGCCTCATATCCCCCACATCGGTAGGCTGTGGCTCGATCTCTATTATCTCGGGGGCAAACATAAAAACCAGTTTGGGCTAATTTGCATCTAGCGGTGGGGCTGCTGCATCCATGGGCCGTCATCTGTTGGGGTCTGGCTCCCATGTATGATTGTAAGTTATGGGGACCCATAGTTGGGATTACCCAAGTGTCCAGGCCGGCAGCCAGTTGGCAAAAGTCGGGGGTGAATTAGGCCACCAGGTGTTAAGCGCATGGTTGCCCTGAATTTCCCAAACAACCTCCCAGCTCTGGGACCAAACTTGCCATGTCAAAGAGTACACTTGGTGAGGGCTTCCTTCCTGCATCACAATTCCTAGTCCCAACAAGGCCCATAAAATGGTTAAGGGGCCCCACGGGTAAGTCTTAGCTTTAGCGGGTTTTGGGTGTGCTGAATTCTTCATGGTGAGGTCGTGGTCAGGTTCTTCTCTCCCGTGGTGTGGTCGGCCTTGACGTGGGAAGTGTGGATTCAGGCTGCGATGGCGTCAACCTTTAGTGCCGTCAGGGTAGTCAAGAGGACAGTGTATGGTCCTTTCCACCGGGGTTCCAGGTTCTTAGTCTGGTGTCTGTGTACCCATACAGTGTCTCCTATCTGGTAGGAGTGTGGTACCACCGGCTTATCTAGCTGCTCCCGATAGGCTGCTGCAAGTGGTTTCCAGACTTCTCTCTGGACAATCTGTAATGCCTGCAAATGAGCTTCCAGAGAATGACTATTAGCAAAATCAGCAATGTTGGAATCCAAGAAATTCATAAATGGGGGCGGGGCCCCATATAATATTTCAAATGGGGTGAGTCCATGTGGGCCCGGCGTGTTTTGGGCCCTGTATAAGGCTAAAGGCAGGAGGAGCACCCAGTCTCTAGAGACAGTTGCAAGCGTTAATTTAGACAAAGTCTCCTTAATTGTTCTATTCATGCACTCTACCTGTCCTGAACTTTGGTGTCTGTATGCACAATGTAATTTCCAATCAATGCCCAAAAGCTTAGCCACCAACTGACTTACCTGGGAGACGAAGGTGGGCCCATTGTCAGTACCCAGGATCTGGGGCATCCCATACCTGGGGAAGATTTCTTCCAAGAGTTTCTTGGTCACGGTCTTTGCCATTTCATGTTTTGTGGGGAAAGCTTCTACCCATCCAGAGAAGGTGTCTATGAACACCAGTAGGTATCTGTATCCATATAATCCAGGCTTTACCTCTGTGAAATCGATTTCCCAATGGGTACCGGGACGGTGTCCTCGAACTCGGATCCCTGGTTCGAGCTTAGTCCTGCCTGCATTTACCTGGGCGCAGGCTTTGCATTCATCAGTTACTTTTTGTATGGCCCCGTCTCTATTTAGGAGGTATTGTCACATCTCCTGGCATTCTAGGAGAGTCTTCATCTTTTTGGGGCTCAGATGGGTTAGTTTATGTAAACAGTCTATCAGTTCGTAGGTTTGTCTCATGGGTCTAACGATTGTTCCTTTGAAAATCCAATGTCCCTTTTTGGGGTCATAAGTGGCCCCCATTTTCTTTAGGAGATTTATGTCCTCTTGGCTATATGACAGGGAGCGTCTGAGTTCCTGATTCTCCCCTGGGCACGTCAAAGGAAGGGCTCGGGTGGTGCTGAGGGAGTTTAGAGCAGCCTCCCTTGCAACTGTGTCTGCTAGTCGGTTCCCTTTTGCCTCCGGGCTATTGCCTCTTTGATGGCCAGGGCAATGCATAATGCTCAATTTCTGAGGCAGAAACAAGGCTTTTAGCAGTGCCAGGATCTCAGCCTTGTTTTTAATTTCTTTTCCTTCTGAAGTTAATAGTCCTCGCCTCCGGTAAATTTCCCCATGTATGTGGGCAGTGGCAAAGGTGTATCGGCTATCTTTATAGACGTTCAGTCTCTTACCTTCTGCCATCTGAAGGGCCTGGGTTAGTGCGATGAGCTCAGCTCTCTGGGCTGAGGTGCCTGCCGGAAAGGCTTTTGCCCAGACTACCTCCGTCTCTGTGGTCATGGCTGCTCCCGCCTTCCGCTCCCCGCTCACCAGGATGCTGCTGCCATCCCTGTACCAGGTGTAGTCTACATCTCGGAGGGGTTGATCCCTCAGGTCCGGTCTGGTCCCGTGCATTTCTGCAAGGATCTGGAGACAGTCATGCAGTTCTGGCTTTCCCAGCAGGGGGAGCAGAGTGGCGGGGTTAAGTGCAACCACTGGACTGAATTGGACTCGGTCCGCATCCAGGAGCATGGCCTGGTAATGAGTCATGCAGGCGTTGGAGAGCCAGCAGTCTGGAGGTTGTCTAATCAAGGCTTCTACTGCATGGGGTGCTAGGATAGTTAAAGGCTGACCCAGAGTTAATTTGCCGGCATCCTTGACAAGGACTGCAATGGCTTCTATCATTCGCAAGCAGGGTGGCCAGCCCGACGCTACTGGATCAAGTTTCTTGGATAAGTAAGCTATTGGACGCTTCCAGGGGCCCAGTCTCTGAGTGTGAGTACTCCTTTAGCATAGCCCTGCCATTTGTCCACAAACAATTCGAAGGGTTTGGTGGTATCAGGGAGGCCCAACGCTGGGGAGGCCAGCAAGGCCTTTGTAATATCCTGGAATGCCTTCTGTTGTTCCTCTCCCCAATTAAACAGAGTCCCTTGTTTGGTGAGAGGGTATAGGGGTGCAGCCATCTCCGCAAACCCTGGAATCCAGAGGCGGCAGAACCCTGCAGTCCCCAGAAACTCCCGCAGCTGGCGGGGATTTTTAGGGGCAGGGATGTCAGTAATAGTCTGTTTACGTGCCTCAGTCAGCCATCTCTGTCCATCCCTTAATTGATAGCCTAGGTAGATGACCTCTTTTTGGCATATTTGGGCCTTCTTTGTGGATGCCTGATATCCTAATTGTCCTAGTGTCTGCAAGAGGGCTTCTGTGCCCTCCCTGCACTCCTGTTCTGATTCTGCCGCCAGCATCAGACATATTGGAGCAGTAACAGGGCAGGGTGCTGCACCCTGAAATCTGCCAGATCTTGATGCAAAGCCTCGTCAAAGAGGGTTGGGCTGTTCTTGAACCCTTGGGGAAGCCTGGTCCAAGTTAATTGGCCTGAGAGCCCAAGATCTGGTTCCTTCCATTCAAAGGCAAACAGAGATTGACTCACAGGATGCAGCTGTAGGCAGAAGAAAGCATCCTTTAAATCAAATACAGTGTACCAAGTGTGGGAAGGTGGCAGTGTGCTCAGTAGAGTATAAGGGTTGGGGACCGTAGGGTATATGTCTTCTACCCTCTTGTTGACCTCTCTTAAATCCTGCACTGGCCGATAATCCCCAGTACCAGGTTTCTTTACCGGCAGTAGGGGAGTATTCCAGGTTGAGCGACAGGGGGTGAGGATGCCCTGGTCCAGCAGCCTCCTTATATGAGGTTTTATTCCCTGATATGCCTCATAAGACATGGGGTATTGCTTAATGGAGACGGGGGCAGCTGTAGCCTTTAGTTGTATTATGAGCGGAGGCTGTCGCAGCGCTAATCGCATTCCCCCAGTCTCGGCCCATGCCAGTGGGAATTTATCAAGCCAAGGAGTCATGTCAGGTCCCTGGGGTCTTTGAGTTTCATAAAGTCTATATTCATCTTCCAGATGCAGTGTGAGAATCTGGAGGGGGGCCCCTTTGGGGCCCATTATGTTAGCCCCTCTATCTTCAAAGTGAATTTGAGCCTTTAATTTAGTGAGGAGGTCTCTTCCTAATAGTGGATAAGGGCAATCTGGGACATGCAGAAAAGAATGTGTCACCTTACCAGTAGCCAGCTGTACTTTTCGATCCGTCGTCCATTGGTATCTCTTACCACCTGTAGCTCCTTGGACCCAGGCCGATCGGAAACTGAGTGGTCCCGAGGTATGGGTTAGGACTGAGTGCTGGGCTCTGGTATCTACTAGGAAGGTGACTGGTTGCCCCCCAACATTGAGAGTTATCCTGGGCTGGGGGGGGCTCCTGGCCTCGACTGTCCTAATCCTCCAGGGTCAGAAGGGAGGTCGGGGGCCTGGGCTTCTTCGGCCCCCTGGGTCGCTTTGGACAGTCCTTTACCCAGTGTCCCCATTCCTTGCAATAGACACATTGGACCTTCTCCACTCGGGGTCCCTTGCAGTCTCCCCCTGTCTTAAGTCCTTTTCTATCCTGACCTGAAACGACGGTGGCCAGCAGTTTGCTAAATTCTTTTTTCCGTTTCCGTTCCCTATCATTCTCTCTCTCCTCATCTCTCTTTCTAAATCTCTCCTCTCTCTGTTCTGACTCCTTACACGGCTGTTCCTCTCTTTCCTCAATTGTCTCTCTCTTATTAAAGATGCATTCTGCTTCTTTTAATAAATCCTGTAGGGAGTTTCCTTGAGGTTATCAAGCCTCTCTAATTTTTTTCTGATATCAGGAGCTGATTGCCAAATAAAAGTCATAGAGACTTTGGTAGCCTGTCCTGGATCCTCTGGATCATAGGGAGTATACATACGATAGGCTTCTTTAAGTCTTTCTAAAAATGCTGATGGAGTTTCCTCCGAGCCCTGTATGACCTGCTTTACCTGGGCCAAATTGGTGGGGTGGCGTGCTGCCCCGTGGAGACCCGCTATGAGCAACTGGTGATAGAGGCGCAGGTGGTTCCTACCTTCAACTGTAGTGAAATCCCAACCAGGGCGTTCCAAGGGGAAGGCAGCATCAATTTCATTAGGCAATAGCGTGGGGCGGCCATTTTCACCGGGAACGTCTTTCTAAGCCTTGAGGAAGACCCACTGTTTCTCTTCAGAGGTCAGCAGGGCCTGCAGCAACTGCTGGCAATCATCCCAGGTGGGTTGATGAGCAACTAGAATGTACTCGATCAAAGAGGTTAGGGTGGTGGGGTCTTTGGAAAAGGAAGGGTTATTATTTTTCCAATTATAGAGGTCAGAGGCCGAAAAGGGCCAATACTGAGGTTGGCCGTTCGGCCATGTCCGGAGTGGGAGAGCGTGAGAAGTGGAATCTGGCGGGGGCTCCCGCCGACCTCTCAGTCGCCCGGCCATCGGCGAAGGGGCAGGCGCTTCCGGGGTCGGGGGTCGCTCGGGAGGCCCCCGACCTGCAGCCGCAGCTTCTCCTTGTTGTTCAGCTCCTGGACCCTGGTATGGGTGAGGTTCATCAGAGAGTAAGTCAATAAGAGGAGAGTCAGGACTGGGCGGTAACACCTCAGTGGGTGCTCTTTTGGACTTCTCCTTGACTGCCTTAGAGCTTCCCAAAGGTTTCCTTGTCACTGTACTCTTTGTGAGGGTGGAATAAAGGGAGGATGTGGTCCGGGTGGTAAGAGGAGGGGGAGGTAAGGAAGGAGCGGTAGGAGTCAGGGAAGGACGTGCGGGGGTTGTGAAAGGCTTAACCCAAGGTGGAGGGTCAGAAGCCAAGGCTTCCCAGGTGACGATGTAGGCAACCTTGTCCGGGTGGCCATGTGGCCCTGGATCCATCACTCTGGCTTTCACCTGTGAAATAGTATCTAGGTTAAATGTCCCGTCTTGCGGCCAGGCAACATTAAAGGTTGGCCACTTGGACTAGCAGAGAGTAATCCATTTCTTCTTTCGGACATCCAATGACTGGTTGTTGGCTGTGTCTTGGACGTCGCCCCAGTGCTGGAGAGTGAGACTTAAGGGGGTTGTTATAGACTGTCCCATCCCTTCAGAGAGGAGGGTGTCAAAGATAATGCCACCAAACAAGAGACAGAGACAAACACAAAACAGATGCGCAGCGCGGCTCCAGCATAAAATCGAAAGCAAAAAAGTAAGTTGGTGTTGAGTACAAAGACTTTTCTACACAAAGACTCCTGATTGAAATGCTTTCCACAAGTGCAGCCCATAGACTGAACTATTCATAGGTCAACATCCAGAACTGGGGTGTTGCTAGGACCACATGTGACCTCACAGAATATGGTGACAGGTTCCCAACAAGCTTGCAGGAGGCCTTGCCAAACTGTCTACTATGACCTCCCTAGTTTCAGGTAGCATCCTCTCATTCACAATGCTGTGGCTTCTGCACTCTTCCATGCTCAGAATTCTTCACAGCAACAATCAGCACAGAAGTCAGTCCAATGGCGCCTGTTCTGCTATAAAACCAAGCCTGTACCATGTCTCTAGGGAGTGTCCTGAAAAGCCTATGACTTGGATGGTGGCACTGATGCCCCTGATTGGCTAGTGAAGCATCAGTGACAAGAGCACTTCCTCCAAGGTTAGAGTGTTCTTAAAGTCAAAGCACAGGGGTCACTGACACTGGCTTCTACTGCAGACCTACACTTTTAGAGATCTGCAGAGACATTATTCTATCTATCTATTTATTTGTTTGTTTGTTTGTTTATTTATTTATTTATTTATTTTTGCTGTTCTGAGACAGGTTTCCCTGTGAGAAACCTGCTGTCCTTGAACTATCTCTATAAACCAGGCTGGACTATTGCATCCCAATTATTATAATTATTGTGATTACTGTTGTTGTTTTCAGTAGATTTTTCTCTTTAATTGAATTATTTATTTATTTTTGGTTTTTATACACAGTTTTCCACAATGCCCTGGTACTTAGTCTGTAAACCTGGCTGGCCTTGAAGTCACAGAGATCTGTCTGCCTCTACCTCCTGAGTGCTGGGATCAAAGGCATGGGGCACCACCACCTGGTGCATAAGGATTTTTAATGTCACTTACTTGTCTGCAATGATGACTCAGCTCTTTTCCTGCAGTGCACAGGTTCATTCTCTCCTTTGTCCTCCACATAAAATAAAGAGCTTGCAGAGATGATTATATAATGCACACTGGAATGATTCTCTTACTTAACAGATAGAAATGTGCTCAAGAATATTAAAAACTAAAGAGAGATTTAGAACACCAAAAGAAGATATTTAATCTGTGGCTTCTTGCTTAGGTTAGGAGAAGCCATGGTCCATTTTACCTGGTTGCCACAGGCCCTTCAGACAAACATTAGAGAAATGCAGGAACCATAGCACAAACAAGACGATAAATCTTTCTCTTGCCAGAAGACTGGATGATAGGTCCATTGCATTGGGAATTTATTCCTGAAATTCAGCACAAATTCTTGAGAAATTAATAATAATAAAAATTGTTGTCTCCATGGTTAGTTGAATACTTGGAGAGAATGGGGCTGGGAAGAAAGCCTCTATGAGAACTATGGTGAGCCAGCACAGCTTCCTCAGTGGGCAGATGAGAAAACGTCTGCATTATTCAGTGTTCTCTACTTGAACAAGACTGGGTTCATATTTCTAGAGAAATGCAGCCTTCACCCAGCCTTCTGATTGGATAAACACGTATTTTCTTCTTTGAGATCTGGTTTTTGTATTTCTACCCTGTGAGTCTGAAGTCCAAGTGAGAACCATGCAACAACTACCTTTAGTTCATGGGATTTCAGTGTGAAACTACAGAATAAATATCTCCTGTTGTGTCATGGAATCCTCTTATTTTGGGACAGGGAATAATCACGTCAACAACATTGCTTACTGTCCTGTGCAAGCTAGCTAGCCACATTGTATCCAGAAGGAAGAAAAGAGTACAGGAAGATAGCAGGGTTTGCTTTTGGAGTCTGGGACAAGTGCTATATAAATGCATATCTCTGCTGATCTAGAAAATATATTTGTCTGGGGTGGAATACAGTTTCAGGAAACATTGTACTGTGTCATTAAGGACTGTGTAACCTTTGTCACTCAGGCGTCAATATCCAATCAGGCCCTTCAGGTAACCTGTCATTATGAATATTTATAGGGCATATTTGTGTTTGTATGGCTTTGTTTGTTTTTTTTTTTTTTTTTTTTTTTTTTTTTTTTGAGACAGGGTTTCTCAGTAGCTTTGGAGCTGAAAGACCCACAGAGCACATATACACTCATGCCCAAACTCAGGCCCCCTGAAATCACTCATGAGAAGTGGTCTTGATGCAAAAGCATGAGGTCTCTTATATTTCAAGAGCATTGGGGTCCGCAGCCATATTCCACGAGGCAGTAGAGGACTGGGGGAATCTTGTGTACACGATTGAGACAGCTTTTATAGGGTTACAACAAAGCCCACACATCCTAAACCAATCATCTCATAGCATCCAGTGCAGACAAATCAATTTGAACTATCCAGGACTGTGCTTAACCCAGGAAGTGGGTGGTGTGACAAGACTCATTTCCTGTGTTCACTCACTCACAGGTGATGTCTTAAACATCCCTGTCATAAACAGTTAAGAAAGTGACCTTTTGCCTACTCCTGGGGTCAGTGGAGACTTAGGCTAAATTTTTCCATCCTTACAGAGCCTGCCCTAGAAGTAACTCTGTAGACCATGGTGGCATCAATCTCACAGCGATGCACCTTCCTCTGCCTCTCCAGTCCTGGGATTAAAGGTGTGTGTCTCCAACTGGTACAGGCCCCATCTGGGTGCCAGTTTCACGTTTGTCTCTGAAGAGAAGGTGGTACAATGTTTTGTTTCTGCTGTGATTAAATTACTGCCACAGGGAGTTGACTGGATATATTGGAAGAGCTGCTAACCATGACATGGTGAATGAGGGGCTGCTGTTCCCAGTTGGGGAGGGGCAGATCCTGACATTCCTGACCAATTTGAATCTGAATGGGAAACTGCCAAGGTGTAGGCCTCTGAATCACTTTGCTCTGTGGGATGAATGTGCTCAGAGCATTGGGAGCAGGGAACTGTGCATAGAAACATGTCTCTACTCAACATCAATCTGTTTCAGTTGCATCCATGGAAAGGTTGCCAACCTTGGAGAGGCCTCATTTCTCTAGTATCTGCAAGACATTTAGCACTTTGCATTTTGCATTTATTTGTTGACATGCATTACTGTGGCTGTTGTAAAAGGCTTCCCTTTTGTTCAGTGTACTCTACTTACATGCCATGATGTAGATGAATAAAATTGTTTGCATAAATGATTTACCAAATGTTGGAAATAAATAGTAAGTCTCACAAGGTAGATTTTAGCTTACAGACGACTGCTTCTAAGACACTCCAAAGACAATTGTATAATAATCAGTTCTGCTAGAAATCAGGATGTTAGAATACACATTTATTTAAGAGGATTGTCCAGACATTTGGGTCCAAACTGTTACCAAT